TTAACTAGGTTATTACTTTAAGTTAAGGTTATCTAACTAGGCTATTAAGTTACATAATCTTAGATTAATTTCTAAGTAGCTTACGTAAGTATAGAATATTCTAGTACGCTAGATATGTCTATATAAGGGCTAGATTTCTTCTTGTTTCTATTCTATCTTATTCTTTCTCTAAGTAAGTAAATTAGAATAGTTAGTAATCAAACAATAAGACTAACTATTATACTTTCTTTATATCTATATCTATATATCTCTATATCTACCCCTGTTATCCTATATCCTTTCTTCTATAGGATATATCTTTATATAAGAGATATACTCTCTTATATACTCTTAGGCTATTATTCTCTAAGAGATCTAAGCCTACCTGTTGTGCTAACAATAATAGACCTTTTTATAGAGGTAATAAAAGAGTTTATAAGGCTATTTTTAACAAGAAAAAAGACTATAGCTATATCTATTATTATTATTTCTTTAAAGAATATTATATAATAACTTTATGATAAAGTCTTATAGGGAGAAAAGTAATTATAAAAAGATTTATAGTAATAACTATAGGTCTTAGTAACAGATTACTAACCCTCTAGTAGACCTACCCTACTATTTAGTTTTCTAGTAGCAGAGCCCTTATTCCTGTGGCTCTGTAAGCTTAAGTCTTATAATATACTAATACCTACTATTAAGCCCTACCTAGTTAAGTGCCTATAGCTATTATCTTATAAAAGTAACTTTTACTAGTTAGACCTTTACCTAAAGTACTTATTACTTATTACTCCTTCTTATTATTATAAAACTTATACTATAGTTCTTTTTTTTTATGCAGTTATCTATATAATAATCTAATTAACTTATAGGTATAAAGGCTATACTGCTTACACTTTTACCTTAGTAGGGCTTTTACTGACTATAACTTACTAAGTTATAATTGTCCTCTAATTCTATTTCTTGTTACCTTATGTCTAGATAGCCTATTACTAGTATAAATTATCTTATTACTTAAAATACTTATATTTTAGGCTTCTATTTCTTATTCTCTAAGGTGTTTTTGCCTCCTAGACAGAAGGCAATATATTACTTCTCTATTTCTTAGTACACTAGATTATCTTATTTTAGAACATTATCTACCTAGTGTATTAGAATAAAAAATACTTTACTATTTTTACTACTTATCTATATCTATATAAATCTAAGGGTGCTGTGTTTCTAGGACACCCTTTGCTATCTAGGATATCGCTAATACGTTGCCTACTAGAATATATCAGGATAACTTCCCTACCTAGATTAGAAGGGCCAGAATAGCCATATAGGTGGTGTTTACAGCAGTGCTTATATAGATCTCTTGAGCATTAGTAGACCTTTTGACTAGTTAGCTTAATTAGTTAAAGCAACTAGTTTGAAGTCTATTAGTAGCTCTGTAACTGTTAGTAACCTGTTCTATATAAATCCTTACGGCTGTAAAGTCAGGGGGATAAAGGTAGCAATAGGGATAGTAAAAGTAATAGGCATAGGTACACCTTCCTTTTACAGCCATAAGATTGTTAATAGGTCAGAGAGGGGGGGAGGGTAGTGCTACCTTTTTACGGCCGTAAGGAGCCGCTGTCGCTGCCACAGATCCTTACGGTCGTGAAATAAAGGGGGCAGGGGGGCCGGTCCGGTGGCGGGGGGGGCTGATTAGGCCGCGACTGTAGCTCTAAAGGTCTACTTAGGTAGTAGGCCATATCTGTAGCGGCTGCTGCTAATATTCGCCACACAAAGCTATTCTAGCTTTACGTTATAGGGCGTGTAGGGGGGGTTAGACAGAAACTAGGTGTATGTAGGTCTCTAGATAAGTAATGTTTAACCTCGCTGCTAAAGCTCTAATATCTACTATTTCATAAGTATACTTTATCTTAATTCTTTTACTCTATAGGTTAAATAGTTTGTCTTCTAATTCTAAGCAGAACTGTTCCTATTTAAAGTTGTTCCTTCCCTTTACATTCTTGTTCCCATCCTGCCTGCGGGATAGATAGCCTTTTACTCGACTTAGAGCCCTCTTATTTCTTTGTCTCTAGCCAGTTCTCCTGAGTGTCTCTTGTGGCGCTTCTTGTATTCTGTCTTGTACTCCTGACTGTGTCTAACTTAACCATTGGGAACATTATCGTTAATTAATCCCAAAGGGGCATTACAGATGCTCTACTTAACACTGTCGGCAGCAGTGTGACCTCCTTAATTAATTCCAAGCAGTTTCTTAGCCTTAGATACAAGGGGCGAATTAGTCGCCACAAGATGACGGACCACTAGTTGCCGCTGTTCGATAGTCAACTCGCTTTGTGCACGTGTAACAGCTTCAGGGTGCGCTTCAATAATCCAGGCAATATCTTTCATGTCCTTCTCATCCTTCTTTCGCTGTGGAGCAGCTAGGGCCCGGACCTTAGACAGCAGAATTTTCTCTATCTGCAGTAAATTGACGAAAGCCAGCTCTCTATCGCTGTTCCATTTAGGGCTAATCTCTTGGGTAACGCCTTCTAAGTTTTTGGGTGTGTTTGCATAACCTAGGTTGCATGGTTAAATTTATTCAGAAGTCCACCAGAATCACTCACCTGCAATATTGAAATCCACCTCGAAAAACCTATTATTATGGTTGTAATAGGTTCTTAAGTGTCCCGAGTTTGCCCACCAATCGTCTCCAGGGACAATGAAATTTTTGTTTATGGCTAATCGATTTCTGAGATGAGCAATATCAGTCTGAATCAAGACATCGATATCCGATGTACAACGATTTGGTTCTCCGTAGAGTATTAGGGCAAAGCCACCAGATATGGCCCAAGGTATACCCGCCTCATCCAGAGTCGATCTGATCATTGCTGTGGTGTGCATGAGATCAGGGATTCCCGGGCAAGACTCTGCATTCGCCCGAAGCCATATCCCTTCTTGTTTAGTATAGATACCATCCTTGATGTCTCGGGTATCAACTGGGGAGTGCTGGCTTGCGGAAAGATGTCTTTTATCAACAAGCTTGTTGTCTTGACTAGAAACTGTTGGCTGAAATGGGCTAACACCTTTGGAGCTAAGATAGTGCCTTAGTTCTATTCCCGGAGGCAACGACAGGGCTGCAGCGGCTAGCAGCCACAAGCAGTAAATAGTTGTAACAAAAGGGCGCATAATGAAGCAGTCTTAAGAGTTAGGGCGCAAGTGTAAAACAAAACAGGTAAGGGAGGAATACAAGAAGTACTAATAACTTAACCCCCCTATAAGTAGGCCACTCCTACATCCAAGCCATTCCAAAAGAATCTAAAGAGTTCTTTAAATACTTATACTATTCTTCTATATTTATGTACTATTTTTAAATCAATATAGTATTAATAAATAGAGGTAAATATATAGCTACTTCTCCTTACTAAGAAAATCGTAGTATTTTCTAAAACTTTATAAATCTTTATAGCTTTTTATATAAAACAGTTATAATTCTACAAAGAATCCTACTAAGCTTCTTATTGCTTATGTATATACAAGTACTATATATAGTATATAAGTATACTATATATAGATCTAGTAGCTTTTGAGAAGGAGAGTAAAAGTAAGAAAATAGGTTATTTTAAATAGCTATTTATATATAAGATATGTAATTTTTCTTTAATATATACAATAATATCAAGTACTTATATACTATTAATTATATATAAGTTCTCTTATATAATATAGTATTATAAATTAAAAACTTAGTTATAGTAGTATAACCTATATAATAATTCTAGAAATTCCTAAAATAGTAATAATATATATAGTACTCCTTTTTAAGTAGTCTTATATAGTATACTGTACTACTCTATATATACTATATTCTATATATGAAAATAGGTTTTATTAAACATACTAGTAAGAACTAGAAATAGTTTAGTTTCAAGTAATATAGAGATCTATAAGTAAAGCTTATTAACTTTATAGATATACTTTTATAATATCTTGGTTATTATACTATATAAAACGATTCTAACCTAGATTTAAACTTTTTATATTACTTTATATTGAAATAGTTAATAAAAGGGCTATTTCACTAAAACGATATTTATATTAAAATATATATATTACATATTAAGCTAAAAAGCTATATATATTAATGCTTATACTTTATATTATACTATATATTAAAAGCTTGCTTATAAGTGTTGTTTATAAATAGGAAAGCCTATAAGAAGAGTAGTGGTAAAGTGGCTTAGATGTAGAGGTGGCCTGCTTATAGGGGGGTTAAGCCATATGCTAATAAAATTGTGTCTGCGGCGCGAGGGGAAGAGAGAAGGGTGGTCTAGACTATAGCATGAATTAAATAAGGTTTCTTATTACTATGTCGTTTTTATTAGGTTCTAGTCTAAATGAACTTAGCGCCACTTTTAACCGGAAGACTACATCCTTACGGGGGAGCCGATACTACACTATATTATACTTCACAGGGGGGTAGAAATAAGTTTTTCTATCCTAATAATGTGTTAATTCTATGTAAACGTTAGAAATATATATAATTATATTCTCTATTCCTTACTATCTAGTAAAAATATAAATTTTATAAAGGTAATATAATAAAGATTGTAGAGGACTAGTTCTTCTTAGTTTGTAAATGTAGTAAAGTTATAAATACTATTATTATACCCTACTTTACTTATAGGCCATCCCTACATCCAGGCCATCTAAAAATGCCGCATCCCCCTTAACTATTATCACTACTACCTTTTTTAAACTATTATACTAATTACATATATTGCTAAACAGGCCCTTATAGAGGTGTGGGGTAGTTTCTATTTATGAGACAGCTTAGAAATATAGTATACTATACTAATTACTTTAATATTAATACTACTGGCAGCAAAGCAGAAATACTTTCTTGATCTATATATAGTATTTATCTTAGATCTAAGAGGATATGTTAGCTGTCTATATATTAATTTAACAGTCCCTTAGCAGACCCCTTGACTATCACTTAATTAACACGCGTTCTATTTTCTAGCCCTCTTCTTACACAAACTATAGACATGAGATACACTCACTTTCTTTGTATCCCGCTTGTCACGACGATTTCGAGGCCTCAGCTGTCCGCCAGCCTGCGCGACCTCTCAACAAATATTGCTGACTTGGGAATTCCAAGCTCCGTAGTGCGGCCTCTTAGCACCATGCACCTTACTCTGGGCAACATGCGCCTTCCTGAAGCCAAAGATATTAAAAAGGCAACAGAGGTTCTTCAAAGCATAAAGCCCCTACTTCCTAATACGCCAGTCAAAATTTCGCTCCACGGACTTCATGCCTTCCCTACTGCTGATCAAAGCCACGCCGATATTCTCTTTGCGCCCCCTATATGCCTTCATTACGATTTTAATCGCCTTTGCCACAAGATCAGGCATATTTTTGAAGAAGCTGATGTCGTGGACAAGAATGGTTTTGGCCTATCGCTTCACGCCACACTTATTAATGCTAGGAAGAAAACCCTTTCGGGCTCTATTGATGCAAAAGGGCTTATTGAGAAATATCAGGATTACGTCTGGATGGAAGATGTGCCTGTCGAGAAGATCGGAATCTGCCGTATGGGTGCTGAGAAGATTGGGCCTGATGATGAAGAATACGTAATCATTACTTCCATTGACTTTAGAAGTTAAGATAGCCTGCCCACCCTAGTTATAAGCTACCTTTATTATAAAGTAGTCCTCTTTATATAGGTTAGATAACGTGAGATGTCTAATTATATAAACAGCTTTGCAGGTAAAAATTAAATTTATCCTTTAGCATAAAATAACGTATATTATTATTATTGTTTAGATAGCTTGTCTATAGTGTTATATAGTCTAATTCATACTATTTATGGTCTTCTACTAGATACTTTTAGCGCTAGTCTTATAGTAGGTAGTCTCCTAAAGATACTTAAGAACTTAATAGAACTCTCTAAATAACTCTACTAACTACTTGTCTATTTTCTCTATGATAACCTAAAACTAGTTATAGCTGTCCTATGTTAATAAAGTCTTTATATAATCTATAACTACTTCTTCTTTTCTTGAAAGTATACTAATAGATGCTTATCTACCTGGTCTATCTAACAGTAGTGCTTAGATTTATTTATACTTTCCTTAAGATTGTCTATACTAGGATAGTAATCCTAATTGTTTATAGGAATTGATATAGATACACCAGGAGTTAATACAGACGCACCGGCCTTACAGACGCACCGCTATTCACTTTCCTGATTGGTTTAAAAAATTGTTGTTAGTGCAACCAAATTCTGCCAGGCCCACAGGAGGTAGCCCATCGCAGCAGCCCATCGCAGCCCATCGCGGCAGCCCATCGCAGGCTATCGCGGCAGCCCATTGCAGCCTATTAAGGCAGCCTATTAAGGCAGCCTATTAAGGTAGCCCAAGGGGGTCCTTTTTATAGCTATAAAGAATAGCAGTGTTAGTGTAATTGCCTTTACCGCCTTTATAAGGATATACTATTTTTTTGAACTAATTAGAAAGGTAAACAGTGGTGCGTCTATAAGGCTAGTGCGTCTATATTAATTCCTGGTGTATCTATATTAATTCTGTTGTTTATATTACTTTAGTTACCCTTGTTACTAGTCTCATAGTCTAAAGTATCTACGTTTAAATATATTTATAGGAGTTTAAAACAATATAACATATAATATAACATAAAGATATAATATAAATACAATATAATAGAATATAAATATAATATATATATTTATATTATGTTATATAGGAGAGATAATATATGTATTTATACTTACATTATATTATATTTTAAATATATTTTATATAATATATAACTATATAATATAAAATAAAAAAAACAAAAAATAAATAAATTAATTATATATAATATTATTAAATTTTTACTTATAGTATAGTATTATTTATATATTTTACTTAAAATATTATATACTTAAAAACTAAGATTTATAAAAGACTTTTAAGTACTATATAAATAGTAAATATAATTTAATAATATATTAATTAATTTATAATATAATAAGTATTATATATTATAAGAAACCTAAAAAGTAGGCCTACTACTTAGTTATAACAGAATTAGCCTTAAGTAGAAATATTAATATTCTAACAGCCCCCTTTAAGGGCATTTCTAGTATTAACCTTATCTAGTTAGTCTATACGCCTGCTAGTTAAGGACTTACGGTTACACGTAACTACTTATTAGACTTACTATTATATTTACCTACTCTTTTAGACTTACAGTAGCGTAAATTAAGCGCATAATCTTTATAAGCGTGCAGGGTAACATATATATAGTTAGCTAAACTACTAAGCTAACTAGGCTTATAACCTATAAGAAACCTAAAAAGTAGGCCTACTACTTAGTTATAATAGAATTAGCCTTAAGTAAGAATATTAAGATTTTAATATATATTAATATATATAACTATATTAAAGCTATTATAAATAACTACCTATATAATAACTAACTATAATATAACTAATAATAATATAACTAACTATATAATAACTAACTTTAAAATAACTAATAATATTATTATTAACTATAAAATAACTAATAACAAAAGTAGTATTAATATAGTATATTATAAATAATATAGTATATAGTATTATATATTAAGTAAAGTTTAAAACAGCTTGCCTATATATAGTAATTTCTCTAAGTCCCTATTTTTATTACAAGTAGTACTTACTATAAGTAGGGGAAAAACTACTACTTACTGCTTTTAGTAAGCATGTAGGGGGGGGGGGGGGGGGGGGGGATGCGCTAACTAGAAGCGGTAAGCAGGAGCTTCTTAATTACTATATTAACATTATTACCCTTATAAACTATAAAGATAATAATATATACCTCTATTCTTTATCTATAATCTTAGAATTATTTAATCTACTTTATTATAGTAACCTAGTAAAACAAATTACCCTTAAGTTATACCCTATTATATATACTGCTATACTATACTTTTACTATAAACTCTATCTATATACCTAGATTAAACTTTTTTACTCTATACTACCTTATAAACTACCTAACCCTAGATACTTATACTTCTATTTCCTTACCCCCTAGTCTATCCCCCTCCTACTACTAACCCTAACCTTACTTTTGTTACTAAGCCTCCTACGGAACCCTATACTATTCTTGCCGCTATAACTGCTTAGTTACCTTATACAACCTGCTTGCTTATACTCCTCCCTACCTAATTTCCTACTAACCCTAACTAGTCCTAACTCCTTCTTGCTTGCTATCTCCTATAGCCTTATGCTAACCCTAACCCTACGCTCCCTTACTAACCCTAACCTCTACCTTACTTAACTCCCTCCTCTAGGCTCCCTACCTATAGGACGAACGCTATATACTTATAGTATACTAGTTGTCCTTTATTTATATAATAACGTTATCTTATTCTTATATCTCTATTCCTCCTTCTTATTTACTTTTTCTTACTCTAATTAATACCTTCTTATTAATTATTATAATAAATACTTTATTCTTACTAAGAAGTATACTATCTAATAGTAGGGATTATAATAGTTACTTAATTAATTCTGTTATATATTATATATCTATAGTAAATTACTATAGAAATAGGGAAAACCCCCTATTTCTTAGTTAGGAAATCCCTAGCTAATCCTAGTAATATTATTAGTAGACTTACCCTAAAAGTAGGGCTAATTTACTGCCTATTCCCTAATAATTTACTATAGGGTAACTATATATTTACTAGTTAATTTACGTGTAATTCTACTATATTTAATACACCCCCTTAGCGCTAGTAACGTAGTTAATCACTATAGAGCCTATACTAAATATCCTCTATATATAGCCTATTTATTTATTAATTATCCTTTAATATCTTATACGTTTTCCTCCTTTATTTAGTAGTAAAGCTTAACTTTATTATTAGCTAATTCTTATTATTAATTTACTTTAAGGCGTACGTATTAATTACTTATATTTAATTAAGCTATAAATATAGTAAATTATAGCGCACTAAGCGCCTTTATTAATCTATTAGCTATTAATTTAGTAGACTTCTTATATTTAATAGTAATCTAATTTACTACTACTTTTTATTATAGCTAGTAGTTATAAATATTTATATACTATAGCCTTATCTATAGTTAGATAAGCTCCTTAGTAATAAGCCTAATAGTCTAGGTATTATTATAGCTAATATAAATAGTTAGTAGCTATTTAGTAGCTACCTACTTATTAAGTAATAATTTAGTTCTTATTTATATTAATAGTTAAATACCTAGTGTAGTAATTAATCTACTAGTAAAAAGTGTTTCCTTTATAGTAAATAATAAGGCTAGTAATTTAGCCTTAGTAGTTAATATTATTACTATATCTTATTTATTTACTTACTAGGAGATAAGCCCTCTAAATAGCTTTAGTGTGTACGCTTATAAGCTATAATAGTCTAGTAAGTTATTAGTAAATAAGGCGTCTAAAGCGACCTTTAATATATTATCTTTACTACCTAGCGTTACTTTATATTTAAGGTAAAAGTGCTATATTTAATAGAGATACCTAAGTATATAATTTACTGCCTTTTAGTAATCTAGATTTAGATTATAGTTAAAGTAGGTAAGCTAGCTAGCTATAAAAGTGACGTCTAGCTAAGTTATTACTACTATATATAGGATTATCTCTACCTTTTTTTAATATTAATTAACCTCTTATAATAAGGCTATATATTTACTAGGTAATAGCTTAGCCTTTACTATAGGTAATAATTTATTATATTTCTTATTTATTAGTAGTAGTTTAGTTACTTTATTATAATATACTACTTATAAGAGCTAGAGATAATAGTTACTTTAGTTATAAATTACCTTAAGGCTAAGGAACTACTATAATAGGCCTCTACCTTTAAGGTAGTATTATTACTAAAGAGCTACTATCTTATTACTTACTTACGCTTTATTTATATAGTAATAGGCTAATATATAGTTATTAATATAAAAAAAGAATATAATATAATTCTTCTTCTAATAGTAATTCTTATTAGGCACTTAGTAAAAGCCCTATATAGTAAGTCCTTTTTTAAGGTGCTTTTACTATAGCAGTAGTAATTACTAAAGCCTATATAGCGCTTTTAACAGCTAGAAGATCTAGCTAGTAATTTAGTAGCCTAGAGGTATCTTTATAAATACTACCTTATTAATAGTAGCGTAAATAAACATATTAACTACGTTATATTAAAGTAATTCTAGATTAAAATAAGTAGCTATTACTATAAGTATTTTAAATAATATACTTACTAATATAGCTATATAGGTATCTTATAGATCTTTTGCTTATTAGTTACTATAGACTATAAGTCTTACTTTAAATTTAGTTAATTAACTATATTTATTAAGCTTATAGGTATATACCTAGTAGTAGCTAAGAACTTAATACCCTTTAGCTACTACTTATAGCACTATTACCTAAGACTTTAATGTTTTATACTTATATAGATACGCTATTTTAGTATCTTTAAATTATTTTTTATATAGGTAGCCTTTTAACTATCTATAGATTAGTAGAGGGTGTAGTAACTTCTAATACGTGCCTATTAGCCTATAAAGTCTAGTAACTCCTCTATTACGTGCTAGTAATTTACTAGTAATGTCTTTATAATTATTATACCTATTAGGTG